AAAATAATTTAGAATGGCTGAAATAATACATACATGAATGTTTCTCTCTTAATATTATGAGTGGGAAAAAAAAGAATATAAAATGAACATCCAACAATAAAGTTAACAATAAACAAACATAATGAAAAATGTCTGCAATAACTAAAAATTAAATTTATAGACTATGAATGAGCATATAAAGCAAATTATGCTAAAATTAATTTAATTCATTAAATTTAAAATTGTTCATACAGTGAGCCTAAAAATGCAATATGATGTGTATAAAAAAGATAAAGCTGTTACAAATTAAAAAAAAAAAAAAGAAGCAGGAGCTCAGCCGAACAGGACCTTCTTCCAGAGAGCAGAGGCCTTACCCGCGATCCGGCTCCCTGTTGAGCATCAAGCCTTCTAACCTAGGATGAACTAAATGTCCGTTCAAACTACCCCTCGTGGTACTTCTGTCTCAGCATCGCTAAATAAGTAAGACAGCTCCTAAATACATTTTTAAAACTAAAAATTACTCAAGGAAGCATTCGACTGAAATTAAAAGGTTTCAAATAAGAAGGTACTGGATTCCATAAAACACTGACTTTTCAGTGAACTGCATTCCATGCTAAATGTTAGACCATTCGCAAGTGGTGGGAGCATCCATCCAAATTGCTCAAGTGACGAAGAATATGATGGGGAAGTTAAACGCTTATTTTAATGTTACAGATATAAAAACTGTTTACCAACAGCAATAATATTGGGGAAGTACAAATTTTAGAAGTCATAGTTCTAAACTGTGTAGGCAGAAAAGTAAACATGTATATTTCTTAAAAAGTGTACATTTAGTATAAAGGAAACAAATTCAGGTTATCCTGATTATTCAAAGGTGACTTGCTTGTATGTTTTTCTCCCTGTATTGCATTCAACTACACTCATTCTTTATTTGTGAGGAATATGAATTCCTTAAAAACTCTGCTTAATGTAAAACTTCCATAAAATAAAATCTTGTTTCCTTTCATTTCTATGTGTAAGACTACATACGATTGGTGCCTAAGACTTCCCATTCCACAAAAGCATCAAATTTAAGGATGGCACGCAAGCATCTTGTTTCAGGCTATGGAAATGACCATGAGAAAGGAAATCAGACACTGTCAGTAGAGTTTACTTTGGGCGATTGCAAGTAGGGTAGAAATGAAGGTTGAGTGAGGTGTTTATTTAATTTTTACTCTACTCTTCTATTTATTTCACATATTTACAATAAAAAAATGATGAAGAGGGTTGACAAATCATATTTTTAAATATATTTAACAAGGGATTGTTGTAGCATTGTAGTATGAACATGTGTTTGATTACTACTGCCTCCTTTTTGTGTTTCTTTCAGAGGGTGGAATCATGAGACAGACTTTGTCTTATCGAATCTCCTTCTTTGCGGGGCTGTTGTCCCTTTGGACGCTCTGTCAGTCCTCTGCCAACAGATGTGCTATCAGCTACGAAGTAGCTGACTGCAGTCACTTGAAATTGACTCAGGTGCCAGATGATCTCCCTACAAACATTACAGTGCTGAACCTGACCCACAATCAGCTCAGAAGGCTACCACCTGCCAACTTCACACGATACAGCCAACTGAGAATCTTGGATGGAGGATTTAACTCCATCTCAAAACTGGAGTCAGAACTTTGCCAAAAACTCCCCTTGTTGCAAGTATTGAACCTCCAACATAACGAGCTATCTCACCTCTCTGACAAGACCTTTATCTTCTGCAGGAATTTAACTGAACTCCATTTAATGTCCAACTCAATACAGAAAATTCAAAACAACCCTTTTAAAGACCTCAAGGTAAGGTGTGAAAAAATGTACATTTTGATACACAAAGAGAAAATGAATGTTATTAAATATTAAGTTTTTAAACCACTTATCTAAAGAGACATCATCTAATGTCAAGTATTTTTCAAGCTTAAAAAAAAAATCTATCCTTACACTTAAGACATGAACATCAAGGTTTTCAAGAGAGAAAATGAAGTCTGAACCCATTTTAATGGTAATTTACAAGGAATCTACCTCTCTAGCTTCCCACCATGAGAAAGAAACCTAAGACACAGAAGCCAGAGAGTATTATCATGAAACAATATTATAATGAAACAGTATTATTCCTCTATCCCATGAGAAACAGGAAAAATAAGCCCATAAAGTTGCTGTTTGAATATCTGGAGTCCTGAAAAATGTCAAATATCCTAAAAGTTTCTAAATACTGACTTAGAATAATTTTAGCAAATTGCAACAATGACAAAGTAAGTTATTCCACTAAAAATCACTTTCTCTGTTTGAGAAATCCAGGGAGCCGTCACTAACGAAACAATGGCAGTTCAACCCCGCCCACCGCTCCCCACGAGGAAGATGGGGCAGTTGCTTCTGTCCAGAGTCTCAGCCGGGGATCCCTCTGGGGCAGTTGTACTCTGTCCCAATGGGCTGCTCTGTGCCGGCATCCACTCCGTGGCAGTAGGTTAGCATTTTTGGTGGTACATCTGTATGGAAGCAGGCTGCCATCTCATTCTCCTTCAGAACAGCCAGTGGGTTCAGACCTCCACCCTTTTAAGTCTGCGTGCAAGCGGTGTATCCACGGTAGCACCAGTCTTCCGGTGATTGAAAAATCCCCTCCACAATATCATTGGATTTTCCCTGGATTTCCATTTCTTCCTGGTCAACCACTTCACATGAGATTTAAATGATCTATTTCCAAATATAGAGCAATTATTAAATGTTTTTCTTAAACCAACGTCATTTTCAAGTTTCTCAGTTATCGTCATTGTAAGATGTTGGACATTCCTGGGTCAGGAATGATGTGCCCATTGAAAAATGCTTGCAAACATTTACTTACAAACTTTGCTTGCCAGTGCTTTCAAACTATTTTTTTTTTGGGGGGGGCGGGGGAGGAGCGGCTCCTTAGATTCTCATGTGGACAGAACATCTTTGGACATAAAGCCCTCAGAATTTGACCTGATTTTTAAGTGAAATGAATTTTTCCTCTTAATAGAAGTTGAATTCTCTCTGAGAGAGGATGCATTAAACGTTTCTATAATAGCCAGCAGCTTCCACTCACCTGTGAAACTCACATGCTCAAACATATCGTAATTTGTACCACCCTGAAGGCACTAATGAGCAAACAGACACGATTAAAAACTCTCGGAGCCGAGGCTCCTTCACGGCATCAGACTCTTTCCAGGAGTGCTCAGGCAGCCGACTTCTTCACATTCTTCTTCAAGACAATATTTTTTCCTGTCCTTTTAAAAATTGTTTTAAGTCCCAAATATGATCCATATTGTCATTACATCATATGAAAATTCTTGCTAGGATTAAGGGCCTTTCCTTTTGAAATAAGAAGTTAAGTCCTCACTGATTTGCCCTGGACACGGATTGTTAGTCCGACTGTTAGCTGTCTGTATTAAAAGGGAGGTAATACAATTGTTCATAGTGCAAAGACTACAATTGTACTATTGCGACATTTATTGTATAGATGTGCGTATATTTAAATTCGTTTTTTATGAAACGACTCTAACCTGCATGCCTATATTTCCCCCTCAGAACTTAATCAAATTAGACTTAGCGCATAACGGCTTATCGTCCACAAAACTAGGGACGGAGCTCCAGCTGCCCCATCTCCACGAGCTTTCCCTGGCCAATAATAAAATCCGCGCATTAAGACGTGAAGAACTTGAGTTCCTGGGCAATTCTTCTTTAACCAACTTAGAGCTGTCATCGAATCAAATTAAAGAGGTAAGAAGTGGGGTACCGTTGTACGTGTGTTCAGTCTCGAGGGAAGGCACTGTCGAACTGTGTTAATGCACAGCAGGAATCTAACGACCGCAGAGGAAGGGCGGGGGACCCCGTACCCACACTGCTTCGAGCCAATGGCACCGTCCTCACAGGAAGAGTATTTCGCAGAGCTAAGGGCTGGGGCTCTGCCCCCACGCAGGGGTGGATTAAATCCCTTCCCATCTCACGTCGGGTCTTTGATTTTGATGACACCCTTTAACGCTCCGTCTGCGTTTCCTCCCCTGTCCAGTGGGAGAGCACTCGCTGCCTCGCAAAGTTTCTGGAAGGATGGCAGCTGCATCAGAGCTAGGAGCACACGTTTGAGAGTCTGGTTAGATGATCAATAAATAAACAAAATCAGACATATTCAAGGTCCCTGTGCCGTATTTGCTCAGATTTAAATGTGGTGTAATTTAAGACTGTGCGGTGAAGAACTGAGCACGGTGTGTCAGGTCAGCACTCAAAAATGGTAAGTAGCTACGTGTAACTCTGTACAGGTTTTAGACTAAAGCTAATAGCGAGCTGTGCTTGTTATATTTGTAACAGTTGGCTGTTAGGCACACACACAAACACACACACACACACACACACAAGCATATACACATACTCCAAAAACATTGTTACAGGATAGCTATTTAGTCTTTGTCTACACTTATGGATGTATATGTATATGTGTGTATATATATATATGTATTTGACAAAGGCTATTATGCACATGTATTTATTTGTGCTTCAACTCTATCCATGAACATAGTAGAGCATACAGGGGTCTTAGCCAGAACAAATACCTTAAGGGAATGAGTTGCTGGGCCTGGGGCCGCAGGACCTTATGAGGAGTGTGGTGGAATTAACTAGCATTATGTGATTCTTAAACCCTTTCTTTAATGGAGGATGTTGAAGTTATTTTACCATCTTCTTGTATCTATGACCTTAGCTGAGTATTTTATATCCATGTAATCTGTATTTTACACACCTTTTATTTATAGGCTATCAGAAACTCACTAACACACCGTGACTTTATCGAACAGGGTAGAATTGCCACACGGGTTTCTGAGACTTAACCCTTTACAGGAGTAGAAAGCCCTCAGAGTGCCCAGTGGTTTCGAACTAAGGAACTTAGTTCCTTGAGGATCACAACCCAACTCGTAACCACTGCGCCACCAGGGCTCCTTTATAGGTTATAAAACCAAACTCAGTGACATCAATCACCACTGTCTCACAGCAACCCGCTGTGTATTTCGGAGACTGTAACTGTTTACAGGAGGAGAAAGCCCAGGCTTTTTCCAGTGGAGCAGCGCGCAGTTTGGAACTGCGGAACATGTGATCACAGCCCAATCCATAACTGCTACACCACTGGGCCTCCTATAAGGACCTTGCAATTCTTAATAAAATCATATTTTTTAATTGCCTGATTTTTTCAAATGTAAAAAGAGGCTGAACCCAAAATAAGTCTGAGAACATAACTGTTTAGTGGATGCTAGCTACCCATCTCATTTTTAAGCAGCTATTTTGTTCTGGTTTGACCATATACTGTAGACCTGGCAAATGTGTAAATAATGAGAAGCAAATAAAAATCATGCAGAAGCCCACAATGCGGAGACCACTGCTGTGAGCATGTCTCCATGAATCCCTCCAGTTCTCGTCCCCAAATAATAATAAAGAAAACCAACAGCTAACCTTCACCAAGGACTTAACTGGGTGCCAGGCACTGGGCCAAGGTGGTTTTTTATTTATTTCTATCACCATTTTAACCAATTTTTAAAAATCATTTTATACAAGCGTACATTGAAATCAAGAGAGATTAAGTGGTTAATCTGAGATCTCACCAGGATGAACCCGAGACTCTGAATTTGATGATGTATCCTGATTGTCAAAATTAATATCATTTCATGAGCAGCAACTGTATCATTAAGATGTGGTCAGTAGCTTAATTGTTTATGGCTGAAAATTAGACTACCAGGTAATTTGCATGTCAATCCATTCCATTCACAACCAACCTTATGTTTTCCTATTTCTCTTTTCTCCCTATTATCTGGCAGGCGACACCTTAGCAGTTAGAACTTCCGTGCTCCCCTGGCGGGTTTGACCGGCAGACATTCACTACTCCCCCCTCTCCTCTCTGGTTTCTTTCCCCTGAATTCTCCTTTCCTGTTTCAACACAAGGTAGCTGGTAAGAGAATGGGGGCAGAGTGGAAGGTGCTTGTCAACACCATATTGAAATAAAGGCTGAAGAAAGCTTCACAGAAAATAATTTAAAAGAGCTGTAACCTCAAAGACTGGTGGAAGGGAAATTGTGAACCACTGCTTTTTAATAAAGCCCACTCACTCATTTCTTCCACGATGCTCACCGAGAAGAGCAGTGACCAGGACAAAACAGTACCGCCCAATGGTGAATTTACAAAGAGTTGAATAATTATAATTGTGCTCCATGGGATGAATAAAGTTCGCCAGGAGATTTAACTTAACCCTGAAAGGTCAGAGAAAGCCCCTGAAGAAGTGACTTCTAAGAAAGAGGCAAATACAAGCAAACGTTGACCTGTGGCTCGGGAGGACACGGGCCCAGGCTCAGGAGAAGGGCTATCGACCTGGTCAGGAAAGGTATGCATTAGAGGAGTGGGGAACATGTGATGCACCCAGATAATGTTGTAGGGAATTGTGTTTAAGCTTTGAGGGGCTTCTACACAGGCCTTTGTGTTTGACCTGTATTAACTTTTGTTTTTTGTTTGTATTTTGTTTTCACTTCAGTTTTCTCCAGGGTGTTTTCATGCCATCGGGAAACTATTTGGCCTCTCTCTAAACAATGCTCAGCTAGGCCCCAATCTCGTGGAGAAGCTTTGTTTGGAACTAGCAAACACAAGTATTTGGCATCTCTCTCTGAGCAACACCCAGCTCTACAGAACAAGCAATATGACATTTTTTGGACTAAAGGAGACAAATCTCACCATGCTCGATCTATCCTATAACAGTTTAAATATGATCACTAATGATTCATTTGCTTGGCTTCCACATTTGAAATATTTCAACCTGGAGTATAATAATATAGAACACTTGTCTTCTCGCTCCTTTTATGGGCTGTTCAATGTGAGATACCTGAATTTAAAACGATTTTTTGCTAAGCAAAGTACTTCTCTTGCTGCACTTCCCAAGATTGATGATTTTTCCTTTCAGTGCCTAAAATATTTGGAAGACCTTAACATGGAAGATAACAATATCCCAGGAATAAAGAGCAACATGTTCACAGGATTGAGGAGTCTGAAATACTTGAGACTATCCAGCTCCTTTACAAGCTTGCCAGTTTTAACAAATGAAACATTTTCATCACTCGCTCACTCTCCTTTACTCATGCTCAACCTAACCAGAAATAAAATCTCAAAAATAGAGAGTGGTGCTTTTATTTGGCTGGGCCACCTACAGATACTTGACCTTGGCATTAATGAAATTGGGCAAGAGCTCACAGGCCAGGAATGGCAAGGTCTGGGAAATATCATTGAAATCTACCTTTCCTTTAACAGGTACCTACAGCTGTCTAGTAATTCCTTTGCCTTGGTTCCAAGTCTGAGACGACTGATGCTTCGAAGGGTGGCCTGTAGAAATGTGGATGTCTCCCCCTCGCCTTTCCACTCTCTTCACAACTTGACCGTTCTGGATCTCAGTAACAACAATATAGCCAACATAAATGAAGCCATGTTGGAGGGGCTTGGCAAACTAGAAATTCTGGATTTGCAGCACAACAACTTAGCAAGGCTCTGGAAACGGGCCAACCCTGGAGGTGCTGTTTATTTCCTGAAGAGTCTTCGTCACCTCCACATCCTGAATTTACAATCCAACGGCTTTGACGAAATCCCAGAGGAGGTCTTCAAGGATTTGTCTGAGTTAAAGAGCATTGACTTAGGACTGAACAATTTAAACATACTCCCACCATTCATCTTTGACCACCAGATCTCTCTGAAGTCATTGAATCTTCAGAAAAATCTCATAACATCAGTTGAGAAAGATATTTTTGGACCACCTTTCAAGAACCTGGTTAACTTAGATATGCGATTTAATCCATTTGATTGTACATGTGAGAGTATTGCCTGGTTTGCTAACTGGATCAATGGGACCCACACTAATATCTCTGGGCTATCCGATGACTATCTCTGCAACACTCCAGCCCAATACCATGGTGTCCCGATCACGCTTTTTGATGTGTCCACCTGCAAAGACAGTGCTCCTTTCCAACTTCTATTCATCTTAACTACCACCACCCTCTTGCTTTTTATAGTCACTGTACTGCTCGCCCATTTCGAGGGCTGGAGGATATCTTTTTATTGGAAGGTTTCAGTGCATCGCATTCTTGGTTTCAAGGAGGTAGACAACAAGGCGGAGCAGTTTGAATATGCAGCCTATGTAATTCATGCCCACAAAGACAAGGACTGGGTCTGGCAGCACTTCTCTTCCATGGAAGAAAATGACCCATCACTCAAATTTTGTTTGGAAGAAAGGGATTTTGAGGCAGGTGCCCTTGAACTCGAAGCAATTGTCAATAGCATCAGAAGAAGCAGAAAGATTATTTTTGTTGTAACACAGAATCTATTGCAAGATCTGTTGTGCAAAAGGTGCGTGAATATTGTGAAAATTCTAAATGCTTGTTTGTGTTTCGATCAAACTTACCAATAGGCATTAGGCTAGTATAAAAAAATAACAATCTTAGGTTATTATTACTAAGAGCTAGAGGATTTTACAAATAAAATTAAGGGGAAAATTTAAGTGACAGACTAAAGTAGATCTTTACAAGAATATTTTATTTCAAAGTTTGGATATTAGTTCTGTAATTTAACTTGTTTTTCTGTTGTTGTTTGGCTTTTGTAAATGTAGATTCAAAGTGCACCATGCCGTTCAGCAAGCTATTGAACAAAATCTGGATTCCATTATACTGGTCTTTCTTGAGGAGATTCCAGATTATAAACTGAACCATGCACTTTGTTTGCGAAGAGGAATGTTTAAGTCTCGCTGCATCTTGAGCTGGCCTGTGCAGAAAGAACGCACCAGTGCGTTTCACCACAAATTGCAAGTCGCACTTGGATCCAGAAATTCAGTACTTTAAATTTACTTAAAAATTAATTTACGAGTCACTTTTCCAGTTTCAAAAGGCCCATGGTAAGAGTTTTCACTCGACCACAAGGTAACTCTGCGGACTCTTTTATCATGTCACAGTTGTATCTCATCTCTTGAAACAAGTGTCCCTATAGGAAGCCCCTTGTTCCTCAAGTCCCAAAGTCACCACTATCCAGTTGATTCTGACTCATATCAACTGTCTAGGGCAGAGTCCCACTGCCCTGGTGGGTTTCCAAGACCTGTGCAGCAGTGGAAAGCCTGACGCTCCTCCTGTGGAGAGACTGGAGACTTGCACATGCTGATTTCGCGTGAGCAGCTCAACGGTAACCCACCACATCACCTGCCTGCCCCTTGATCCCGATTCACTAAATTCACCCAACAGGAGCTTGTCATCATAGACTGGATTTAACTGCTGAATACAAATTGGTTACCATGACCCGGTACAATTTAAAACTTTTAAGAGATCTCTCATTTAAAGAAAAGAGAGTTGCATGAAGATTTATGTGCATGTTCTTGATATTTGGAGGGATGCACAATTATCAAATGGAAGATAATTGTTTTAATAGGTATAATGCAATATCAATTAGAAAAGAGTAAAATATAGACCCATACTTAAACAGGTTAAATACAGTTTCTTTTTTTTTTTTTTCCCAATGGAAAGTTGTTGCCTTCTGGCGCCTGTCTCAGTGTGGACCGGCTACATGCTACATGCCACTTGAGTATATATACACTGGAAGACAGAAACATTTGTATTCGCTCTGGTTAGTTAATTAAATGAAGACTTTAATAAATACTTTCTGTTTCTTGGTACTTGGGTTTCTGTTACAGGAATTGTTAGAAGAAACAATCCTCTTACTTAAAAGCATTGCAGGGAAACACGTTATCTGAAGGTTAATCAGCAGATTAACTTTGCAGCGATAAAGCCATTTCCTTCCCTGGTCACCAACTCAAGAGATGGCCTGGGCCAAACCACCTGGTCCCACTGGGATTCTTTCACTCCTGATCTTTAAAAGTATGATGAGGAATCACCTCTTTGAATCCCTAAACAATTAGCAACGATGATCATGGCATAATAAATCCACATAGTACACATTACCATAAACGAGCCCTTCTATAGGATGATTACTTTTTTTTTTAACATTTTATTAGGGGCTCATACAACTGTTATCCCAATCCATACA